GGGCGTTCTTTTATATGCATAGGGGTTCTCTTTTTTGGTTTCCTTTCACTTTACATCTCAGAGTGCAGGCACAAGTAACATCTCAAGGTGGTACTCTTCCTTGCCCGAATTAAACTAGGTTCATCATTGAAAGACATAACTTAAGAATTACATTTTATTCTATCAAGTGCATAACATATACATCCTTTCTTCAACTTACCCTGATATATACGCCCCCTCTTTTGGTTTTCACGCGACAAACCCCCTTACCCCCTACGCTCAGCAAATCCTGTTCTCCTTGTCAAACCCCGAAACCAAGGAAGGTTCGAGAACGTGCGGGCTAACAAGTTGAGATATCCATTAGCCATCCGCATTATATATATATATATATACATGTCATATCGACCCCCCTAAAAATTTTCTCAAATATAGCCCAAAAAATTCTACTAAATTTGTTAGTAAATTTCTCAATGCTAAAAAATCCAACATATTTAATCGCTAGCGTAGCTTAATACAAAGCATAACACTGAAGATGTTAAGATGGGCCCTGAGAAGCTCCGCATGCACAAAGGCATGGTCCTGACCTTATTATCAGCTCTAGCCCAACTTACACATGCAAGTCTCCGCAGCCCCGTGAGTACGCCCTTAATCCCCTGCCCGGGGACGAGGAGCAGGCATCAGGCACAAACCGTTAGCCCAAGACGCCTGGCCTAGCCACACCCCCAAGGGAATTCAGCAGTGATAAATATTAAGCCATAAGTGAAAACTTGACTCAGTCAGGGTTGAGAGGGCCGGTAAAACTCGTGCCAGCCACCGCGGTTAAACGAGAGGCCCTAGTTGATAATACAACGGCGTAAAGGGTGGTTAAGGACAGTGAAATAATAAAGTCGAATGGCCCTTTGGCTGTCATACGCTTCTAGGAGTCCGAAGCCCGATATACGAAAGTAGCTTTAGAAAAGCCCACCTGACCCCACGAAAGCTGAGAAACAAACTGGGATTAGATACCCCACTATGCTCAGCCATAAACCCAGACGTCCAACTACAATTAGGCGTCCGCCCGGGTACTACGAGCATTAGCTTGAAACCCAAAGGACCTGACGGTGCCTCAGACCCCCCTAGAGGAGCCTGTTCTAGAACCGATAACCCCCGTTAAACCTCACCACTTCTAGCCACCCCAGCCTATATACCGCCGTCGTCAGCTTACCCTGTGAAGGCAATAAAAGTAAGCAAAATGGGCACAACCCAGAACGTCAGGTCGAGGTGTAGCGTACGAAGCGGGAAGAAATGGGCTACATTTTCTATTATAGAACACTACGGACATGCAACATGAAATAGTGCTTGAAGGAGGATTTAGTAGTAAAAAGGAAGCAGCGTGTCCTTTTGAACTCGGCTCTGAGACGCGTACACACCGCCCGTCACTCTCCCCTGTCAAAATGCAGTAAAGCTACCTAACACCAGAGCGGTGACAAGGGGAGGCAAGTCGTAACATGGTAAGTGTACCGGAAGGTGCACTTGGATTAAATTCAGGGCGTGGCTGAGTTAGCCAAGCATCTCACTTACACCGAGAAGACATCCATGCAAATTGGATCACCCTGAGCTAACCAGCTAGCTTAACTACTAATATAATTCAACTTTATTCATAACAAAACAAGACCCAACGCCACAAACTAAACCATTTTTTTACCTGAGTATGGGAGACAGAAAAGGTTCAGCTCAAAGCAATAGAGACAGTACCGCAAGGGAAAGCTGAAAGAGAAATGAAACAACCCATATAAGCACTGAAAAACAAAGACTAGACCTTGTACCTTTTGCATCATGATTTAGCCAGTACCATCGAGCGAAGAGACCTTTAGTTTGATACCCCGAAACCAGGTGAGCTACCCCGAGACAGCCTATGTAATTTAGGGCTAACCCGTCTCTGTGGCAAAAGAGTGGGAAGAGCTCCGGGTAGAAGTGACAGACCTACCGAACCTGGTGATAGCTGGTTGCCTGAGAGATGGATAGAAGTTCAGCCTCGCACCCCCCAAATCAAAACAAATATCATCAAGATACTTTAAGGGAAAGTGTGAGAGTTAGTTGAAGGGGGTACAGCCCCTTCAACAAAGGATACAACCTTCGCAGGCGGATAAAGATCATAATATATAAGACACACTGTTCTAGTGGGCCTGAAAGCAGCCACCTAAGCAGAAAGCGTTAAAGCTCAGACAGAGAGAAATTTATTATACCGATAACAAATCTTACTCCCCTAATTATATCAGACCAACCCATGCCCACATGGGAGAGATTATGCTAAAATGAGTAACAAGAAGACCTGATCTTCTCCCGCCACAAGTGTAAACCAGATCGGACAAGCCGCTGGAATTTAACGAACCCAACCCAAGAGGGTAGTGTGAATAATAAAAACCCCAAGAAGAACTTACACTAAATAATCGTTAACCCCACACTGGAGTGTCATTTTAAGGGAAAGACTAAAGGAAGGGGAAGGAACTCGGCAAACACAAGCCTCGCCTGTTTACCAAAAACATCGCCTCCTGCAACTAAATTGAGTATAGGAGGTCCAGCCTGCCCAGTGACTACGGGTTCAACGGCCGCGGTATTTTGACCGTGCAAAGGTAGCGCAATCACTTGTCTCTTAAATAGAGACCTGTATGAATGGCTAGACGAGGGCTTAACTGTCTCCCCCTTTCAGTCAGTGAAATTGATCTATCCGTGCAGAAGCGGGTATAACAGTACAAGACGAGAAGACCCTTTGGAGCTTAAGGTACAAGATTCAGCCACGTTAAACAACTCCATAAAGAGCAAGAACTTAGTGGCCATGAAATTTTACCTTCGGTTGGGGCGACCACGGAGGAAAAGTAAGCCTCCGAGTGGACTGGGCCAAACCCCTAAAGCCAAGAGAAACATCTCTAAGCCGCAGAACATCTGACCAATAATGATCCGACTAAAAAGCCGATCAACGAACCAAGTTACCCTAGGGATAACAGCGCAATCCTCTCCCAGAGCCCATATCGACGAGGGGGTTTACGACCTCGATGTTGGATCAGGACATCCTAATGGTGCAGCCGCTATTAAGGGTTCGTTTGTTCAACGATTAAAGTCCTACGTGATCTGAGTTCAGACCGGAGCAATCCAGGTCAGTTTCTATCTGTAACGCTACTTTTTCCAGTACGAAAGGATCGAAAAAGAGGGGCCTATACTTGAGGCATGCCCCACCCCTAATTGATGAAAACAAATAAATTAAGTAAAGGGAGGGCCAAAGCCCCTACCGCCCAAGATAAGGGCATACTGGGGTGGCAGAGCATGGTAAATTGCGAAAGGCCTAAGCCCTTTAAATCAGAGGTTCAAGTCCTCTCCCCAGTTCATGATGAACACTCTAATAACTCACCTAATTAATCCCCTTGCCTATATTGTCCCCGTCCTACTAGCCGTAGCCTTCCTAACCTTACTTGAGCGAAAAGTACTAGGATATATGCAGCTGCGAAAAGGGCCTAATGTAGTCGGACCCTACGGATTACTACAACCTATCGCTGACGGGGTAAAGTTATTCATTAAAGAGCCCGTCCGCCCCTCCACCTCCTCCCCCTTCCTCTTTTTAGCAACCCCTATTCTTGCGCTGACCCTGGCCTTAATCCTATGGGCGCCCATGCCCATGCCGCACCCCGTAATTGACCTTAACTTAGGAGTTCTATTCATCTTAGCACTATCGAGCCTTGCAGTATATTCTATTCTTGGATCAGGGTGAGCATCAAATTCGAAATACGCACTAATTGGGGCCCTACGGGCGGTCGCCCAGACAATTTCATATGAGGTAAGCCTTGGGCTTATTCTGCTTTCAGTAATTGTCTTCTCTGGGGGTTACACCCTCCAAACGTTCAACACAGCCCAAGAGAGCGTATGACTACTAGTCCCTGCATGACCCCTAGCCGCAATATGATACATCTCGACCCTAGCGGAAACTAACCGCGCGCCCTTTGACCTGACAGAGGGTGAATCGGAACTTGTCTCGGGTTTCAACGTAGAATATGCGGGGGGGCCCTTTGCCCTGTTCTTCCTTGCCGAATACGCAAATATTTTGCTAATGAATACCTTGTCCGCTGTCCTGTTTCTAGGAACATCGTATTTCCCTGGCATACCGGAGCTGACCACAATTAGTCTTATGATTAAGGCCGCATTTTTGTCCATTGTGTTCTTGTGGGTCCGAGCCTCCTACCCACGATTTCGATATGACCAGCTTATGCACCTTGTGTGAAAAAACTTTCTTCCTTTGACACTAGCTCTTGTGTTATGACACATCTCGCTCCCAATTGCACTAGCGGGCCTTCCCCCCCAGCTGTAGCTTAGGAACTGTGCCCGAGTGCCCAGGGACCACTTTGATAGAGTGGCTAACAGGGGTTAAAATCCCCTCAGTTCTTAGAAAAAAGGGGGTCGAACCCATGCTCAAGAGATCAAAACTCTTAGTGCTTCCTCTACACCACTTTCTAAGATGGGGTCAGCTAAATAAGCTTTCGGGCCCATACCCCGGACATGACGGTTAAACTCCCTCCTCCATCAATGAACCCTTATGTACTAGCGACGCTATTGTCCAGCCTTGGCTTAGGAACCACCCTAACCTTTGCTAGCTCCCACTGACTGCTGGCCTGAATAGGACTAGAGATTAATACCCTGGCGATCATCCCTTTAATGGCACAGCACCATCATCCACGCGCCGTGGAAGCGACCACAAAATATTTTCTTACTCAAGCCACTGCCGCAGCCATGATCCTGTTTGCGAGCACAACAAATGCCTGGATCACAGGGGCATGAGACATAAATAATGTCTCTAATCCTATTGCCAGCACAATAATTATTACCGCCCTAGCACTTAAAATTGGGCTAGCGCCAATACACTTCTGAATGCCTGAAGTATTACAAGGACTAGATCTCCTCACAGGACTAGTTTTGTCTACCTGGCAGAAACTTGCCCCGCTCGCCCTCATTATTCAGACAGCCCAAGCCATTGACCCCTTACTACTCACAACCCTGGGACTTATGTCTACTTTAATTGGTGGGTGAGGCGGACTGAACCAAACCCAGTTGCGGAAGATCTTGGCCTACTCCTCAATTGCACACATAGGCTGAATAATTATTGTTCTTCAATACGCCCCACAGCTCACCCTTCTTGCGCTACTGACATATATTTTTATGACATCCGCAGCATTCTTGACTTTGAAAACTTCATCCGCCACAAAAATTGGCACCCTCGCAACCGTTTGATCGAAAAGCCCTATCTTGACGACAACCACTGCCTTGGTATTATTGTCACTAGGTGGCCTACCCCCACTTACAGGATTTATACCAAAGTGATTAATTCTGCAAGAACTAGCGAAGCAAAGCCTTCCCCTCATTGCCACGATTATAGCCCTTGCCGCACTGCTTAGCCTGTACTTTTATTTACGACTTTGCTACGCCATAACACTCACCATCTCCCCTAACACTACTACCTCAACCACCCCATGGCGGGTTCAGACAACCCAAGCCTCCTTCCCCCTAGCCCTAGCTACTGTAATGGCTTTGGGCCTTTTACCCGTGACACCAACTATTGCCATACTAGTCACCTAGGGACTTAGGATAGCATCAGACCAAGAGCCTTCAAAGCTCTAAGCAGAAGTGAGAATCTTCTAGTCCCTGATAAGACCTACAAGAGTCTATCTTGCATTTTCTAATTGCAAATCAAATGTTTTTGTTAAACTAAGGCCTTTCTAGATGGGAAGGCCTCGATCCTACAAACTCTTAGTTAACAGCTAAGCGCTCAAGCCAGCGAGCATCCATCTACTTTTCCCGCCGTTCGCCTAGTAAGGCGGGAAAAGCCCCGGCAGGGTATTACTCTGCGTCTCTGGATTTGCAATCCAACGTGTTTCTCCACCACGGGGCTTGATAGGAAGAGGATTTAAACCTCTGTCTTCGGGGCTACAACCCACCGCCTGGGCACTCGGCTACCCTACCTGTGGCAATTACGCGCTGATTCTTTTCTACAAACCACAAAGACATTGGTACCCTTTATCTTGTATTTGGTGCCTGAGCCGGGATAGTGGGAACCGCTTTAAGCCTCCTTATCCGAGCCGAGCTAAGCCAACCCGGATCACTCTTAGGTGACGACCAGATTTATAATGTTATCGTTACCGCCCACGCCTTCGTTATAATTTTCTTTATAGTAATGCCAATTCTTATTGGCGGGTTCGGAAACTGGCTTGTACCCCTAATAATTGGTGCGCCTGATATAGCATTTCCGCGAATAAATAACATAAGCTTCTGACTTCTGCCCCCATCATTTCTACTATTGCTAGCTTCTTCTGGCGTTGAGGCTGGCGCCGGAACGGGATGAACCGTATATCCCCCACTCGCAGGCAACCTCGCCCACGCGGGAGCATCAGTAGACCTCACAATCTTCTCTCTACACCTAGCAGGTGTATCATCAATTTTAGGGGCAGTTAACTTTATCACCACAATTATCAATATGAAACCCCCAGCCATCTCCCAATATCAAACGCCTCTCTTTGTATGAGCCGTACTTGTAACCGCTGTTCTCCTACTCCTATCACTACCTGTCCTAGCAGCCGGAATTACAATACTTCTCACTGACCGTAATCTTAATACCACATTCTTCGACCCAGCTGGGGGAGGGGACCCAATCCTATATCAACATCTATTCTGATTCTTTGGTCATCCAGAGGTTTATATTCTTATTTTACCAGGGTTCGGCATCATTTCACATGTTGTAGCCTACTATGCGGGCAAAAAAGAACCATTCGGCTATATAGGGATAGTTTGAGCAATGATGGCCATTGGCCTCCTTGGATTTATCGTCTGGGCCCACCACATATTTACCGTTGGGATGGACGTAGACACCCGTGCCTACTTTACATCTGCAACAATAATTATTGCCATCCCGACCGGTGTAAAAGTGTTTAGCTGACTCGCTACATTACACGGGGGCTCTATCAAGTGGGAGACTCCTATATTATGGGCCTTAGGGTTTATTTTCCTCTTTACGGTAGGAGGGCTAACAGGAATTGTCCTTGCTAATTCCTCACTTGATATTGTTCTTCATGACACATACTATGTAGTTGCCCACTTCCACTATGTACTATCAATAGGGGCTGTATTTGCCATTATAGCAGCCTTCGTTCACTGATTCCCATTATTTTCAGGATATACCCTAAACGACACTTGAACGAAAATCCACTTTGCTGTAATATTCATCGGTGTGAACCTTACATTCTTCCCACAGCATTTCCTAGGTCTAGCAGGTATACCACGACGGTATTCTGACTACCCAGACGCTTACGCCCTATGAAATACAGTATCATCCATTGGCTCTCTCGTCTCACTAGTGGCGGTGATTATATTCCTATTTATTCTCTGAGAAGCCTTCGCCGCCAAGCGAGAAGTATCCTCAGTAGAGCTAACTACAACAAATGTAGAATGACTCCACGGCTGCCCTCCGCCATATCATACATTCGAGGAACCAGCATTTGTCCAAGTTCAGTCAAACTAACGAGAAAGGGAGGAATTGAACCCCCATGTACTGGTTTCAAGCCAGTCACATAACCACTCTGTCACTTTCTTCTAAAGACATTAGTAAAATACGTAAATTACATCACCTTGTCAAGGTGAAATCGCAGGTTAGACCCCTGTATGCCTTAACCTAAGACTTAATGGCACACCCCACACAACTAGGATTCCAAGACGCGGCATCACCCGTTATAGAAGAACTTCTTCACTTCCATGACCACGCCCTAATAATTGTATTTTTAATTAGCACAATAGTACTCTATATTATTGTTGCAATGGTTTCAACTAAGCTTACCAATAAATATATTTTAGATTCCCAAGAAATCGAAATTGTATGAACAGTATTGCCAGCGGTAATTCTAGTTTTGATTGCTCTCCCCTCCCTTCGAATTCTGTACCTTATAGATGAAATTAACGATCCCCACTTAACAATTAAAGCCATAGGACATCAATGATATTGAAGCTATGAATATACAGACTACGAAGACCTAGGATTTGATTCATATATAGTTCCGACTCAAGACCTCACCCCAGGGCAATTTCGACTCCTAGAAACAGATCACCGAATAGTAGTCCCAATAGAGTCACCAATTCGTGTTCTAGTGTCCGCAGAAGACGTATTACACTCATGAGCCATCCCATCTCTTGGTGTAAAAATAGACGCGGTGCCTGGGCGATTAAACCAAACTGCCTTTATCGCTTCGCGCCCCGGTGTATTTTATGGACAATGCTCTGAAATCTGTGGCGCTAACCACAGCTTTATGCCTATTGTGGTTGAAGCCGTACCGCTAGAACATTTCGAAAGCTGATCCTCCTTAATACTAGAAGACGCCTCACTAGAAAGCTAATTATTGGACAAAGCGTTGGCCTTTTAAGCCAAAGTTTGGTGACTACCGACCACCTCTAGTGAAATGCCCCAACTCAACCCCAATCCCTGATTCGCGATCCTAGTATTCTCATGAATCATTTTCCTCACTATTATTCCAACCAAGGTCTTAAACCATACAGCACCTAATGAGCCGGCCCCAATAAGTGAAGAAAAACATAAAACTGAATCCTGAAACTGACCATGATAGTAAGCTTTTTTGATCAATTTGCAAGCCCATCTTTCCTGGGAATTCCACTCATCGCCGTTGCAATTGCACTACCATGAGTATTGTTCCCAACCCCATCATCTCGCTGAATAAATAGCCGACTTATTACTGTTCAAACATGATTTATTAACCGGTTTACTAATCAACTAATAATGCCTCTAAATGTAGGAGGACATAAATGAGCTCTACTATTAACCTCTCTAATACTGTTCCTTATTACTGTTAATATGCTAGGCCTTCTCCCATATACCTTTACACCTACAACACAGTTGTCGTTAAATATAGGCCTCGCCGTACCATTATGACTTGCTACAGTAATTATTGGTATGCGAAATCAACCAACAGTTGCCCTCGGGCACCTTCTACCAGAAGGAACCCCCATTCCCCTGATCCCCGTACTAATTATTATTGAGACAATTAGCCTATTCATCCGACCGCTAGCCTTAGGAGTTCGACTTACAGCCAACCTAACTGCAGGCCACCTACTAATTCAACTCATCGCCACAGCTGTGTTCGTACTACTACCTATGATACCAACGGTGGCAATCCTGACAGCCGTCGTCCTCTTTCTTTTAACACTTCTAGAAGTTGCGGTAGCAATAATTCAAGCCTACGTATTTGTATTACTCCTAAGCCTTTATCTGCAGGAGAACGTTTAATGGCCCACCAAGCGCATGCATATCATATGGTTGATCCTAGCCCATGACCACTAACCGGAGCCGTCGGTGCCCTACTAATAACGTCCGGCCTAGCAATCTGGTTTCACTTCCACTCAGTAACACTAATAACCCTCGGGTTAATTCTCTTACTTCTTACAATATTTCAATGATGACGTGATGTTATTCGAGAAGGGACCTTTCAAGGTCACCACACACCGCCTGTACAGAAGGGGCTGCGATACGGGATAATTCTCTTTATCACTTCCGAAGTGTTCTTTTTCCTGGGCTTCTTTTGAGCCTTCTATCACTCAAGCCTGGCTCCAACACCCGAACTAGGCGGGTGTTGACCCCCTACGGGAGTTATCACATTAGACCCTTTTGAAGTGCCCCTCCTCAATACAGCCGTATTATTGGCATCCGGGGTAACAGTCACATGAGCCCACCACAGTATTATAGAAGGTGAACGGAAACAAGCCATTCAATCTCTTACACTTACAATCCTGTTAGGATTTTATTTCACTGCCCTCCAGGCCATAGAATATTATGAAGCACCTTTCACAATTGCAGACGGAGTATATGGCTCGACATTTTTTGTCGCCACAGGCTTCCACGGACTACATGTCATTATCGGCTCAACCTTTTTAGCTGTCTGTCTTCTCCGACAAATTCAATACCACTTTACATCCGAGCACCATTTTGGGTTCGAGGCCGCTGCCTGGTATTGACATTTTGTTGACGTAGTATGACTATTCCTTTACGTATCAATCTATTGATGAGGCTCATATCTTTCTAGTATTAAAGTTAGTACAAGTGACTTCCAATCATTCGGTCTTGGTTAAAACCCAAGGAAAGATAATGAATTTAATTACAACTATCTTTACTATCACAGTAGCCCTGTCGTCAGTTCTGGCAATTGTATCTTTCTGACTACCACAAATGAATCCAGACGCGGAAAAGCTCTCCCCTTATGAATGCGGATTTGACCCATTAGGGTCTGCCCGACTGCCCTTCTCCCTACGATTCTTCCTGGTAGCAATTCTGTTCCTTTTATTTGATCTAGAAATTGCCCTTCTCCTTCCCCTACCCTGAGGAGATCAACTCCACAGCCCAACCGGAACATTCTTTTGAGCTACTACAGTCCTAATACTCTTAACCCTCGGATTGATTTACGAATGAACCCAAGGAGGCCTGGAATGAGCGGAATGGGGGGCTAGTCCAAAGAAGACCTCTGATTTCGGCTCAGAAAATTGTGGTTTAAGTCCACGGCCCCCTTATGACACCAGTACACTTTAGCTTTAGCTCAGCCTTTATTTTAGGGCTTATAGGATTGGCGTTTCATCGCACGCATCTACTTTCCGCATTACTATGTTTGGAAGGAATAATACTGTCCCTATTTATTGCATTAGCCTTATGAACATTACAGTTTGAATCAACAAGCTTCTCTACCGCCCCTATACTGCTACTGGCCTTCTCCGCTTGTGAAGCGAGCACAGGCCTTGCACTCTTGGTAGCCACAGCCCGGACCCACGGCACTGACCGTTTGCAAAACCTTAATCTGCTACAATGCTAAAGGTGCTAATTCCCACAATCATAATATTCCCAACGATCTGACTGACCTCCCCCAAATGATTATGAACAGCCACAACTACTCACGGTCTTTCAATTGCCCTTATTAGTCTCACATGACTTAAATGAACATCAGAAACCGGGTGAACTATGTCCAACACATATTTAGCCACAGACCCCCTCTCTACACCCCTTCTAGTCTTGACATGCTGACTTCTACCCTTAATAATTCTAGCCAGCCAAAATCACATCAACCTTGAGCCAGTCAGCCGGCAGCGTCTATATATTACACTTTTAACCTCACTCCAAACTTTCCTAATCATGGCTTTCGGCGCCACAGAAATCATCATGTTCTATATTATATTTGAAGCCACGCTGATCCCGACCCTTATTATTATTACCCGGTGAGGAAATCAGACTGAACGCCTCAGCGCAGGTACCTACTTTCTGTTTTACACCCTCGCGGGGTCCCTCCCACTTTTGGTGGCCCTACTTCTACTACAACAGTCTACGGGGACTCTGTCTCTATTAGTTATCCAATATACCCAGCCATTGTTACTAAACTCCTGGGGCCATAAGATCTGATGAGCGGGTTGCTTAATCGCCTTTTTAGTGAAAATACCCCTGTACGGGGTGCACCTATGACTACCAAAGGCGCACGTAGAAGCCCCCGTTGCAGGGTCTATAGTACTAGCAGCAATTCTGCTAAAACTGGGCGGGTACGGGATAATGCGAATAATAATTATATTAAACCCACTCTCTAAAGAACTAATTTATCCATTTATTATTCTAGCACTCTGGGGCATCATCATGACCGGCTCTATTTGCCTACGACAAACCGACCTCAAGTCACTAATCGCCTATTCCTCTGTTAGCCATATAGGGCTTGTAGCGGGGGGCATTCTAATTCAAACCCCCTGAGGGTTTTCAGGAGCAATCATTCTAATGATTGCCCACGGATTAGTCTCCTCTATACTATTCTGTCTAGCTAATACAGCTTATGAACGGACCCATAGTCGAACTATAGTCCTTGCTCGAGGATTACAAGTAGTCTTCCCACTGACGGCAGTATGATGATTTATTGCGAACTTGGCCAACTTAGCATTACCCCCACTTCCTAATCTAATAGGAGAACTTATAATTATTACAACTCTATTTAACTGGTCCCCCTGAACCATTGCACTCACCGGGCTGGGAACATTAATTACCGCGGCCTACTCCCTCTATATGTTCTTGATATCGCAACGCGGGCCAGCACCAAACCATATCATAAACCTCGCACCATTCCACACCCGAGAACATCTATTGATAGCCCTTCACCTTATCCCAGTAATTCTCCTTGTAGCAAAGCCAGAACTCATGTGAGGGTGATGTTACTGTAAGTATAGTTTAACCAAGATATCAGATTGTGATTCTGAAGACAGGGGTTAAAGCCCCCTTACTCACCAAAGAAGGACAGAAATCAGTAAGTACTGCTAATACTTATGCACCGAGGCTAAAATCCTCGGCTTCTTTACGCTTCTGAAGGATAACAGCTCATCCGTTGGTCTTAGGAACCAAAAACTCTTGGTGCAAATCCAAGCGGAAGCTATGACCCCAACAGCCTTAGCCATATCATCCTCATTCATTTTAATCATTACAGTTCTTGTTCTCCCGCTACTCACAACGCTAAGTCCTAGCCCTTTAAAATTAGAATGGGCAGCCACGCACGTTAAAACTGCCGTCAGCACTGCATTCTTCATTAGCCTATTACCGCTTATAATTTTCCTGGACCAAGGGGTGGAGACTATTACTACGAACTGACAGTGAATAAATACGCAAGTATTTGACGCGAACATCAGCTTTAAATTTGACCACTACTCCCTTATTTTCACCCCAATTGCCCTTTACGTAACATGATCAATCTTAGAGTTTGCACTATGATATATACACTCCGACCCTAACGTTAACCGGTTCTTCAAATACTTACTCTTGTTTCTGGTGGCCATAATTATTCTCGTTACAGCAAACAACATATTTCAACTATTTATTGGCTGGGAAGGAGTTGGCATTATATCCTTCCTACTCATCGGCTGATGACATGGGCGAGCAGATGCCAATACAGCAGGCCTCCAAGCAGTTATCTATAACCGTGTTGGAGATATTGGGCTAATCTTCGCTATGGCCTGATTCGCAATAAATCTAAATTCTTGAGAGATTCAACAAATTTTCTCTTTATCAAATAGCTTTGACATAACAACTCCCTTGATTGGACTCATCCTTGCCGCAGCGGGAAAGTCGGCCCAGTTTGGCCTGCACCCATGACTCCCATCAGCCATAGAGGGCCCGACGCCGGTATCAGCGCTACTTCACTCCAGCACCATAGTAGTTGCAGGCATCTTCTTATTGATTCGCCTTCATCCACTTATAGAAAATAATAAGCTGGCACTAACGATTTGTCTGTGTCTAGGAGCATTAACCACCTTATATACAGCCACCTGCGCCCTAACACAAAATGACATCAAGAAAATTGTCGCCTTCTCAACATCAAGTCAGCTCGGATTAATAATAGTTGCAATCGGGCTAAACCAGCCACAGTTAGCATTTCTTCATATCTGCACACACGCATTCTTCAAGGCCATACTTTTCCTATGCTCTGGGTCTATTATTCATAGCCTGAATGACGAACAAGATATTCGCAAAATAGGGGGCCTTCATAAACTTATGCCTGCCACCTCAGCCTATCTTACGGTAGGAAGCCTAGCATTAACAGGCACTCCATTCCTTGCCGGATTCTTCTCAAAGGATGCTATCATTGAAGCCCTAAACACCTCCTACCTAAACGCCTGGGCCCTAACTTTAACACTGATTGCCACGTCCTTCACTGCAGTTTACAGCTTCCGAGTCGTATATTTTGTTACTATGGGATCCCCACGATTCCTTCCATTATCCCCCATCAATGAGAACAACCCATCAGTCATCAACCCAATCAAACGACTTGCCTGAGGAAGCATTGTTGCAGGACTTATTATCACGTCTAACTTCCTACCCTTAAAAACATCCACCATGACAATGCCTGCTACCCTAAAAATAGCAGCCCTTATCGTGACTGTTATTGGACTTCTAGTGGCTATAGAACTCGCAGCTACGGCCAACAACCCAGCTAAAACTGCCTATAAAGCCTCTGCACACCATTTTTCGAGTATACTCGGGTACTTCCCTGCATTAATACACCGACTCTCCCCCAAAGCCAGCCTGGTCCTCGGACAATCAGCTGCCACTAAACTGGACCAAACCTGACTTCAAACTACAGGCCCAAAAGGGATAGCACTCACACAAATAATAGTAGCAAAAATAATAAGCGATATCTCACGAGGAACAATTAAAACATATTTAACCATCTTCCTTTTAACCATGGCCTTGGCGGTTCTTCTAGCCCTTATTTAAACCGCTCGAAGTGTCCCGCGACTTAGACCCCGAGTCAGCTCCAACACCACAAGTAGAGTTAAAAGTAGTACCCAAGCACAAATAACTAACATAGCCCCCCCTAAAGAATATATTATGGCCACACCCCCAACATCCCCCCGTAGTATAGACAACTCCTTCAGCCCATCAATGACTACCCAAGAGCCCTCATATCACTCCCCTCAAAATAGTCCAGCCGTCACCACAACACCCGACAGATAAATCAGAACATATCCAGCCACTGAACGACTTCCCCAGGCCTCTGGAAAAGGCTCAGCAGCTAACGCTGCCGAATAAGCAAACACCACAAGCATTCCCCCTAAATAGATTAAGAAAAGAACTAAGGATAAAAAGGACCCACCACAGCCAACCAACACCCCGCACCCAACCCCCGCTGCCACTACCAATCCTAAGGCAGCAAAATAAGGCGTGGGATTAGACGCAACAGCAATCAATCCTACAATCAAAGCTATCAATAGTAAAAACACGAAATAGGTCATAATTCCCGCTCAGACTTTAACCGAGACCAGTGACTTGAAGAAACACCGTTGTCATTCAACTACAGGAACAATAATGGCAAGCCTACGAAAAACCCACCCGCTAATAAAAATCGCTAACGATGCACTAGTTGACCTTCCAACCCCATCTAATATTTCAGCACTATGGAACTTCGGATCCCTCCTAGGATTATGCTTAATTACTCAAATCCTGACAGGACTATTCCTGGCCATACATTATACTTCCGATATCTCAACGGCCTTTTCATCAGTAACACATATCTGCCGAGACGTAAACTATGGCTGACTCATCCGAAACATACATGCTAACGGAGCATCGTTCTTCTTTATCTGTATTTACATACACATTGCCCGCGGACTGTACTATGGGTCATACCTCTATAAAGAGACCTGAAGTATTGGCGTAGTTCTACTCCTTTTAGTTATGATGACGGCTTTTGTAGGCTATGTACTGCCCTGAGGGCAAATATCTTTTTGAGGTGCCACCGTAATTACAAATCTACTATCAGCAGTCCCCTATATGGGCGACGCCCTTGTCCAGTGGATTTGAGGCGGCTTTTCCGTAGATAACGCAACATTAACGCGATTCTTCGCCTTCCACTTCCTATTTCCATTCGTTATCGCCGGTGCAACAGTCCTACATTTGCTATTTTTACACGAAACGGGATCAAACAACCCTGCCGGATTAAACTCCGACGCGGATAAAATCTCTTTCCACCCATACTTCTCATACAAGGACCTCCTTGGCTTTGTATTAATATTATTAGCTCTCACATCCCTAACATTATTCTCCCCAACACTGCTCGGCGACCCAGAAAATTTTACCCCAGCAAACCCTCTGGTCACCCCACCGCACATCCAACCGGAGTGGTACTTCCTGTTCGCCTACGCCATTCTACGATCTATTCCAAACAAGCTAGGAGGGGTCCTAGCACTATTATTTAGCATCCTAGTACTATTAGTAGTGCCAATTTTACACACCTCAAAGCAACGAGGACTAACTTTCCGTCCAATCACCCAATTCTTATTCTGAACCTTAGTGGCGGACATAATCATTTTAACATGAATTGGAGGCATACCCGTAGAACACCCATATATCATCATTGGCCAAATCGCGTCGGTGCTATACTTCGCACTCTTCCTTGTTCTCGCCCCCCTCGCAGGGTGAGCCGAGAATAAAGCATTGAAATGAGCTTGCCCTAGTAGCTTAGCTTGAAAGCACCGGTCTTGTAATCCGAAGATCGAGGGTTAAACCCCCTCCTAGCGCCCAGAAAAAGGAGATTCTAACTCCCACCCCTGGCTCCCAAAGCCAGAATTCTAAATTAAACTATCTTCTGATAGTAACCTATATGGTCCGGTACCGCGTGTAGCATTACATGCGTATAGTACATATATATGGTCTAACACACACATAATATTATTCGTAATATTGTGTGTGTTGTGTTAGTGCATATATATGTATTATCACCATTCATTTATCTTAACCTAAAAGCAAGTACTAACGTCCAAGACGTACATAGACCAAATCGTTAAAACTCACAAATAATTTATTCTAACCTGGGAACTATATTATTCCCCTAGATTCGGCACTCAACACTTTCCTTGAAATAAACACCTAAGGTTTAACGTAACCATATTAATGTAGTAAGAGACCACCAACCGGTTCATATAAGGCATCTTATGCATGATAGAATCAGGGACACAATACGTGGGGGTTGCACACTGTGAACTATTCCTTGCATCTGGTTCCTATTTCAGGTCCATATTTATAAGACTCCACCCTCGGATAATTATACTGGCATCTGATTAATGGTGTAATTGCATACTCCTCGTTACCCAACATGCCGGGCGTTCTTTTATATGCATAGGGGTTCTCTTTTTTGGTTTCCTTTCACTTTACATCTCAGAGTGCAGGCACAAGTAACATCTCAAGGTGGTACTCTTCCTTGCCCGAATTAAACTAGGTTCATCATTGAAAGACATAACTTAAGAATTACATTTTATTCTATCAAGTGCATAACATATACATCCTTTCTTCAACTTACCCTGATATATACGCCCCCTCTTTTGGTTTTCACGCGACAAACCCCCTTACCCCCTACGCTCAGCAAATCCTGTTCTCCTTGTCAAACCCCGAAACCAAGGAAGGTTCGAGAACGTGCGGGCTAACAAGTTGAGATATCCATTAGCCATCCGCATTATATATATATATATATACATGTCATATCGACCCCCCTAAAAATTTTCTCAAATATAGCCCAAAAAATTCTACTAAATTTGTTAGTAAATTTCTCAATGCTAAAAAATCCAACATATTTAATCGCTAGCGTAGCTTAATACAAAGCATAACACTGAAGATGTTAAGATGGGCCCTGAGAAGCTCCGCATGCACAAAGGCATGGTCCTGACCTTATTATCAGCTCTAGCCCAACTTACACATGCAAGTCTCCGCAGCCCCGTGAGTACGCCCTTAATCCCCTGCCCGGGGACGAGGAGCAGGCATCAGGCACAAACCGTTAGCCCAAGACGCCTGGCCTAGCCACACCCCCAAGGGAATTCAGCAGTGATAAATATTAAGCCATAAGTGAAAACTTGACTCAGTCAGGGTTGAGAGGGCCGGTAAAACTCGTGCCAGCCACCGCGGTTAAACGAGAGGCCCTAGTTGATAATACAACGGCGTAAAGGGTGGTTAAGGACAGTGAAATAATAAAGTCGAATGGCCCTTTGGCTGTCATACGCTTCTAGGAGTCCGAAGCCCGATATACGAAAGTAGCTTTAGAAAAGCCCACCTGACCCCACGAAAGCTGAGAAACAAACTGGGATTAGATACCCCACTATGCTCAGCCATAAACCCAGACGTCCAACTACAATTAGGCGTCCGCCCGGGTACTACGAGCATTAGCTTGAAACCCAAAGGACCTGACGGTGCCTCAGACCCCCCTAGAGGAGCCTGTTCTAGAACCGATAACCCCCGTTAAACCTCACCACTTCTAGCCACCCCAGCCTATATACCGCCGTCGTCAGCTTACCCTGTGAAGGCAATAAAAGTAAGCAAAATGGGCACAACCCAGAACGTCAGGTCGAGGTGTAGCGTACGAAGCGGGAAGAAATGGGCTACATTTTCTATTATAGAACACTACGGACATGCAACATGAAATAGTGCTTGAAGGAGGATTTAGTAGTAAAAAGGAAGCAGCGTGTCCTTTTGAACTCGGCTCTGAGACGCGTACACACCGCCCGTCACTCTCCCCTGTCAAAATGCAGTAAAGCTACCTAACACCAGAGCGGTGACAAGGGGAGGCAAGTCGTAACATGGTAAGTGTACCGGAAGGTGCACTTGGATTAAATTCAGGGCGTGGCTGAGTTAGCCAAGCATCTCACTTACACCGAGAAGACATCCATGCAAATTGGATCACCCTGAGCTAACCAGCTAGCTTAACTACTAATATAATTCAACTTTATTCATAACAAAACAAGACCCAACGCCACAAACTAAACCATTTTTTTACCTGAGTATGGGAGACAGAAAAGGTTCAGCTCAAAGCAATAGAGACAGTACCGCAAGGGAAAGCTGAAAGAGAAATGAAACAACCCATATAAGCACTGAAAAACAAAGACTAGACCTTGTACCTTTTGCATCATGATTTAGCCAGTACCATCGAGCGAAGAGACCTTTAGTTTGATACCCCGAAACCAGGTGAGCTACCCCGAGACAGCCTATGTAATTTAGGGCTAACCCGTCTCTGTGGCAAAAGAGTGGGAAGAGCTCCGGGTAGAAGTGACAGACCTACCGAACCTGGTGATAGCTGGTTGCCTGAGAGATGGATAGAAGTTCAGCCTCGCACCCCCCAAATCAAAACAAATATCATCAAGATACTTTAAGGGAAAGTGTGAGAGTTAGTTGAAGGGGGTACAGCCCCTTCAACAAAGGATACAACCTTCGCAGGCGGATAAAGATCATAATATATAAGACACACTGTTCTAGTGGGCCTGAAAGCAGCCACCTAAGCAGAAAGCGTTAAAGCTCAGACAGAGAGAAATTTATTATACCGATAACAAATCTTACTCCCCTAATTATATCAGACCAACCCATGCCCACATGGGAGAGATTATGCTAAAATGAGTAACAAGAAGACCTGATCTTCTCCCGCCACAAGTGTAAACCAGATCGGACAAGCCGCTGGAATTTAACGAACCCAACCCAAGAGGGTAGTGTGAATAATAAAAACCCCAAGAAGAACTTACACTAAATAATCGTTAACCCCACACTGGAGTGTCATTTTAAGGGAAAGACTAAAGGAAGGGGAAGGAACTCGGCAAACACAAGCCTCGCCTGTTTACCAAAAACATCGCCTCCTGCAACTAAATTGAGTATAGGAGGTCCAGCCTGCCCAGTGACTACGGGTTCAACGGCCGCGGTATTTTGACCGTGCAAAGGTAGCGCAATCACTTGTCTCTTAAATAGAGACCTGTATGAATGGCTAGACGAGGGCTTAACTGTCTCCCCCTTTCAGTCAGTGAAATTGATCTATCCGTGCAGAAGCGGGTATAACAGTACAAGACGAGAAGACCCTTTGGAGCTTAAGGTACAAGATTCAGCCACGTTAAACAACTCCATAAAGAGCAAGAACTTAGTGGCCATGAAATTTTACCTTCAGTTGGGGCGACCACGGAGGAAAAGTAAGCCTCCGAGTGGACTGGGCCAAACCCCTAAAGCCAAGAGAAACATCTCTAAGCCGCAGAACATCTGACCAATAATGATCCGACTAAAAAGCCGATCAACGAACCAAGTTACCCTAGGGATAACAGCGCAATCCTCTCCCAGAGCCCATATCGACGAGGGGGTTTACGACCTCGATGTTGGATCAGGACATCCTAATGGTGCAGCCGCTATTAAGGGTTCGTTTGTTCAACGATTAAAGTCCTACGTGATCTGAGTTCAGACCGGAGCAATCCAGGTCAGTTTCTATCTGTAACGCTACTTTTTCCAGTACGAAAGGATCGAAAAAGAGGGGCCTATACTTGAGGCATGCCCCACCCCTAATTGATGAAAACAAATAAATTAAGTAAAGGGAGGGCCAAAGCCCCTACCGCCCAAGATAAGGGCATACTGGGGTGGCAGAGCATGGTAAATTGCGAAAGGCCTAAGCCCTTTAAATCAGAGGTTCAAGTCCTCTCCCCAGTTCATGATGAACACTCTAATAACTCACCTAATTAATCCCCTTGCCTATATTGTCCCCGTCCTACTAGCCGTAGCCTTCCTAACCTTACTTGAGCGAAAAGTACTAGGATATATGCAGCTGCGAAAAGGGCCTAATGTAGTCGGACCCTACGGATTACTACAACCTATCGCTGACGGGGTAAAGTTATTCATTAAAGAGCCCGTCCGCCCCTCCACCTCCTCCCCCTTCCTCTTTTTAGCAACCCCTATTCTTGCGCTGACCCTGGCCTTAATCCTATGGGCGCCCATGCCCATGCCGCACCCCGTAATTGACCTTAACTTAGGAGTTCTATTCATCTTAGCACTATCGAGCCTTGCAGTATATTCTATTCTTGGATCAGGGTGAGCATCAAATTCGAAATACGCACTAATTGGGGCCCTACGGGCGGTCGCCCAGACAATTTCATATGAGGTAAGCCTTGGGCTTATTCTGCTTTCAGTAATTGTCTTCTCTGGGGGTTACACCCTCCAAACGTTCAACACAGCCCAAGAGAGCGTATGACTACTAGTCCCTGCATGACCCCTAGCCGCAATATGATACATCTCGACCCTAGCGGAAACTAACCGCGCGCCCTTTGACCTGACAGAGGGTGAATCGGAACTTGTCTCGGGTTTCAACGTAGAATATGCGGGGGGGCCCTTTGCCCTGTTCTTCCTTGCCGAATACGCAAATATTTTGCTAATGAATACCTTGTCCGCTGTCCTGTTTCTAGGAACATCGTATTTCCCTGGCATACCGGAGCTGACCACAATTAGTCTTATGATTAAGGCCGCATTTTTGTCCATTGTGTTCTTGTGGGTCCGAGCCTCCTACCCACGATTTCGATATGACCAGCTTATGCACCTTGTGTGAAAAAACTTTCTTCCTTTGACA